ACCCCCTAAGTGATTCTATACCATGATCCCATCCACCCCCTTCGCCTGACGAGAAATCTCTACCCCTTCTAACTCTTTCTTCTTTGTCGACGAAGTTGCAACCGGCGACCCTTGAAGAAACGCGTTTGTCCCCGCACCCAGCTCATTGCGAGAGACTCCCGGCATCCAACTAGAAGCGAGAGACTCCTGCGCAAATTTCTCCCTCTTTCTGATCGAAGTCCGTCGTCCCAGCCACTCCTCCTCCTCCTCCATCGTCCCGAGTCGCGACCGCTCCTCCTCCTCCTCCTCCATCGTCCCGACCGCTCCTCTGTCGATCTGTGCCCGACTCCATCACCTGCAATACTTGAAAAATCCGAGATCTATTGTCCCACATTCACACCCCTCCTCTTATGCTTATTGTGAAACTTTCTGGAACCCTAAATCTAGATTGCTCTATTAAATCCAATTCAATGAAACTAGCTTTTTAGGATGAATTGGACAAGCATTAGTATGGGTTTTTTTAACTTACTAGAATTTCAGGCTAGGATGTGTTGTAAATTTTTTGGCTAAATTGGGTTTTCTGTTGTAAATTTGTTTATGGCCGAGAATTGCAGGTGAGGAATGGTCAATTATTAATTTATTATCTCCAAAATAAATTCGTCTGCTTGAGAATCTGTGGGTTGTAGCCTGTAGGCTGTCGCCGAGGGAGTAGTAGAACGCCGTAGGTGGGCGCCGTGGTGGGAAGGTGGACGACGGAGTGGGAAGCTCGATGGACAAAGATGCTCAGGAGACGTACGAAATTAGATTAGGGTTTTTTTAATCCCGCCTGCATATAGTATAATTATATTATAATTCCAGTTTAAGGGGGTAATTGGATCATTTTCCAATTCATTTAACGGATATTTCACATAATTTTTAAAGGAAGGTTATTTTTGTTACGTTGTGATAATAGAAGGGTATGTTTGTGCAAAAATATAGTATCGGGGCACATTTGTTAATTAACAGTAGTAGAGGGGCACAAAATGATATTAACCCTTATGCTATTATTAAGGTATTCGTTAGATTAATATAAAGATTGTTACTCAATGTTGGCTATATCTTTTCTGCACTTAATCATGAGCTCATTAGAATATGATGGCACACAACACTTTGGCGGTCTTAAATTTCTATAGCTCTAGCCTCACCTGCCGTTGTCTCGCGGGCTATTCCTATGTTGATTAATTATGAAACTCAGGATACAAATGTTTCCTACACACACTTTCAAAACTTTTAAAACACACACGGTTGCCAATAAGATAATGATCCGTAATTTACCGTTACCTTAATTAACCACCATACAGTCATGCAAGTGCAGCTTTAGTTCCTACGACGTTGTGTAGCTGGCGTAGGTATTGATTCTAGTTGCATACTAACAGTGGAGTACAACAATACTATTATCCGAGTATTGTGAAACCGTATCAAAGGCTTTTTTTTATACAAAGGAGTATTGCACTTTGAAAGATCGGTTACAGAGAGGAAAAATAAATACATTGGATCTAAACCAAGATCAAAGCAACTCAGGAAAACCGATTGAAATCAAACTGTGCTTGAAAGGTACATCAAAGATTAGCAAGGCAACAAAATGACATCAACCACCCAAACACAACTAAGCTTTTGAACCAAACACAACTCACAACACACTCACAAGCTCTCTTTCTTCCAACCAAACAAAGGTGCAATGAGATCAGCAACAACTTGTCCAATCACAGCGAAATCCATGACAATTGAGTACAACAATGTCATATGTCTCATCCTGTAGATTGCTCAAATACATCAATCACAGTGAATCTAAAAAAACGAGTAGAGAATAACTTCACCATAGACGATGAGACCACCAGACTAGGGCAATCAACCATCACAAGGAGCGAATCAATGTTCCCAATCCCAACCTGTAATCTCCAGATCCCAAGATGAGCTAGCCCATAACAGGAAACCCAATATAGAACGAAGAGCAACAACTAGACTAGAGAGTGAAAAATGGAAGGCCACAACGACAGGAGAAAAAGAATCAAAACGAAAAGTTCGAGGAAAAATCGTCAAACGCCAAGGCAAGAAAAGCACAAATAAAGCGAAAGGAGAAGGAGGTGAGCTGCCACCGGTCACTCAAAGGGAGCCAGCGACAGCCCCTGAAGGCGGAAGAGTGGAGCTGGAGTTAAAGAGAAGGGAGAGCAAAAATTAAAATTTAAGAATGCGAGAGAAGGAGTTTTCATTTGTTGGTTGTTGTTTCCGTATCGAAGATTATACCGAAAAAATCAATAATAAAATATCTTGTAATATCGGATTCAATAGCTTCCTACCACTAAAATCGCCTATGCCGGTTTCGTGTATTGAGGTTGGACCGAGTGGAGCCGTAGCCCTAGCCGTAGGGTTTCTAATTTCTTGAACATTTCACTGACTCGCTTCTGCTTCGCCTGCTGTTCTAAATAGCCTGCTGCCTGATCGCGACGACGCTCTTGTTGCTCCGTCAATCGGCCGCGGCGCCAAGTCATATGCTTTTAGCGGCGTGTTGGCCATCCTCCGAAGGTCGTCGTGTCTCCTCTGAAGCTGGATTTAGCCATTAGTCACCGAAGGTCGGACCGCCATCGCTCCGTCTCTGATTCATTGGCGTCAAAAGGCATCATCTTCCTCCGAGGCTGAACCTGGTCGCTGAAGCTCGCGTCGCTGTCACTTTGTACTCACAATGCTAGCGCTGAAGGCACTATCGACTTCCCGTCTCGGAAATCGATGGTTGATTCCGGTGGGGGTTTTCCCCATTTCCCCCTTCTCTGAACTGGCAGGAAGGTCAACAAATTCAAGCTCTACATGTTTAGTTGACTGTCTGATTACAAAATTCGAATTCCCTGAAACCAAAGCCCTCTCCATCGCTGCTCGAATTCCCCGTCTCAAATCTTCCCAAAAGCCCCAAGCTTTGTTCGCGTTCCTGCGAGGCCTAGGGTTCTCTCTTGACTGTATTCAGTCTACTGTCTCTGGGGCTCCGCAGATTCTGTTCGCTAACGTTGACAAGAACCTTAAACCCAAGATCGAGCTGTTTCAGAAATTGGGTTTCGAGAGTCCTCGTCTTGTTAAGTTCCTCTCTAAGAATGGTGCTGTGTTTGCTGCTAGTCTGGAGAAGAAGCTGCGTCCTCGAGTTCATATTTTGCTGGAAACTTTCCATCAGAAGGATGTGCTTAAGGCTATTGAAAAATGCAGTTGGCTTGCATTTATGTACCCAAATTCTAGATTGCTGTCGAACGTTGCTTTGTTGCAGAGCTATGGCATTGTTGGGTCTCAGCTCTCGATGCTGTTGAAGATGCAGCCTAGGTTGTTCATTAGGACAGATTGTCAAGTTAGAGACATTGTTTCGAGGACGTTGGGTTTGGGGTTTTCAGTGGAATCACGGATGTTTATATATGGGTTGTCTGCTGTTAGTGCCTTCAGCGTTGCAACACTTGACCGGAAGTTTGCTGTATTCGAGGGTTTTGGGTTTTCAAGGAGTGAATGCATTGCAATGTTCAGAAGAGGTCCGACCGTGCTGGGTCGCTGTGATGAGAAGTTAAGTTCTGGCGTGGATTTCTTTTTGAACACCGTGAATCTGACAAAGGAGATGGTGGTTCGTAGTCCTGCACTGTTGATGTATAGCATGGAGGGAAGAGTTATTCCTCGATATCGAGTTTTGAAGACTATGGAATCAAAGTTTCTGTTCAAGAAGAAGCCAAGCTTTAGCACTGTTATGACTCTTACAAATGAAAGATTCGTGGAAAAGTTCATATTCATGTATCCAGAACATTCAGAGGAACTATTAATTGTTTACAATGGTCGCAATGTGGATTCCTCTGCAGATGCAGCTTATTCATAGTTGTCAGTGATTTGATTTCATCCAGCCACCTCACCTGGAGACCTTGTTGCAAATGCTTTTGATGCGTAAGATATGTTGGTGATTTGAAATTTTGTTGAGGGTCCATGGTTCTTAGAAGAATGGAATGGAATTGCAGATGTAAAGTGATCATCTTGGACATTTTCTATTCATCTTGTGGCGAAGTTGACAGCAAGAAAACCTTTGTGGAGGCCATCAGTATTGCAATGATTTTATCAACAAGTTTACTTACTCATATTAGTCTCGTGAGGAACTATTAATTGTTTACAATGGTCGCAATGTGGATTCCTCTGCAGATGCAGCTTATTCATAGTTGTCAGTGATTTGATTTCATCCAGCCACCTCACCTGGAGACCTTGTTGCAAATGCTTTTGATGCGAAAGATATGTTGGTGATTTGAAATTTTGTTGAGGGTCCATGGTTCTTAGAAGAATGGAATGGAATTGCAGATGTAAAGTGATCATCTTGGACATTTTCTATTCATCTTGTGGCGAAGTTGACAGCAAGAAAACCTTTGTGGAGGCCATCAGTATTGCAATGATTTTATCAACAAGTTTACTTACTCATATTGTCCAGAGGATGAAAGGGAGTGGCTGCTGTATAATCTGGATTAGTCTCGTGAGAAGAAATGCATGACCAATCAGTCGACCACCTCCCCTTGTCTCATTTTCCCCCCTGTAACTGTAAGGTTTCTAACCACTTATGGATAGTACAAACTACAAATTTGAGCTCAGGTGACATGGTCAATTACGTTAGAATTTTCTTAATGCTGCACTTTCTGATGATGTATGGTATTCATTCAAACATTTCTCATTGAAGCAAGCTTGTTGAGTATGTTATTTCTTGCTAGCGTCACGACCAGATGTTTGCTTCTTTCGAACTCTGGATTCCCATTTGTGCACTTAGCTCATCCAATCCAACCTGGTATCAACTCTTCATGTTTGATGATCTTTGAAGTGCTTTTTTTTTAATTGCTTAGCTTTGAAGTTGCAAAGATAAGGAAATCGAAGACACTCTATTTACTACAAATGAATCAAATGAATTATAAACTAATTAACCAACCCTCCCCAAGAAACATGTCATTCCGGGGGTAAACAATGAAACCCATCACCCATCATTCCGAAAGGAATCAGAACATGAAGCAATGGAGAAGCAGCAGGGAACCCAGAACCGAAACCAGGCGAGCAGCAAAACCGAAGCTGGACGCAGCAGCAGCTGCGCTCGTGGGCGCAACAGCAGGAGACATAACCTGCTGCGACTGGTCTTCATCTTCAGAAGCAGGGGAAGGAGCAGGAGAAGCAGTTCTGGGAGACAACACAACTATAATCACCTTCTGACCTTCCTTGCAATGTCCATCAGCTCCGCTGATGAAGTAGTGCGCGCCGGCTCTCTCCAGCTTCACCTTGGTGTCCCCGTCTTTGTACTCTGCAATGGGTTCGCTGACATTGCAGGCGAGGTAAGCTTTCTTCGACACCTCCAGCACCGAGTCCTTCGTCCCGTCGTACTTCCACACTGCAATTTTGGGAAAACAAGAAGCACGAGAGAGTGTATTAGTTGAGAAACAGAGAGTTAAGGTAGTCAATTCAATTGGGAAATTGTGAGGATGAAAAGAACGAACAGAGGGAGTCGCCGATGCGGAAGCGGGTGCGTTGGGCCCATTTGTTGAGGGAATCGGACTCCGACGATGGGATCGTCCAGGCGTCCGACTTCCCTCCCACTGTTATCTCTTTCGCTTCTGTGCAGAAGCACAGGAGCAGCAGCAGAGCTGAAGAAGAGAGCAGAAAAGCTGTCCGAGAGGCGGCGGCGGCCATGGAGATGGTGAAATAGAAAGGGGCAAAGTAGTAATGTAAGAAATGGGGGAGGTGGAGGCCAAAGTAGCTGGTTGCTGATTGTTTGCGGACGAAGTGGAGTGCAAACTGTGAAATTGGTAAAGCATTTTATAGTGAGAAAGAGACAGAGGAGGAAGAAGAAGTAGCCGTTATGAGAATGGGCTCTGGGCCTCTGGCCAGGCTCTGATTCTGCTGCATGAAAAGAGTACAATCACAACGGCTCCTACAATTATCATCTAGTCCTCTTTATTTTTCCAGTTTTCACTTTACACCCCCATCTTTCCTTTCTTATGCTTTACCCCCTCGTTCCATTTGTCAAAGACGCAGGTGACTCCGTGGCATGCAAATGCCACGTGTTAAGTTCGTCTGTGTTTCAATCAACACGTGCCCAAAACTCTTCTCCAGCTCCTCCTTTAAACCTCATTCTAGGCTTCCATGGATTCACTTTCGGTTTTGGTCACACCATCGTCGGAAGAAACCCAGATGGCAGGCGGCGGAGAAGGAGACTGGAGGAAGCAGGCAGACACGCACAAGATGAACTCGGAAGAAGTGAAAGCTGCCGGAGTCGAAGGCTCGAAGCGGCCACCGGGGCAGAACCCCGGTGGAGTTCTTCACCAGCGCAGGAAGATGCCTTTCAGCACCCCGACCATGGCCGCTGCCGGCTTTCTCGTTGTCGCGGGGATCGGGTACATGGTTCTTTACGCCAAGAAAAAACCGGAGGCGGATGCTCGTGATGTGGCCCGTGTCGCTACCAACACCGCCGATCCTCGTGACACTCATCCTCGCAGATAGATAGGAAAACATAGATTAGTAGTTTGTTAACTCGTATTCTCTTTTGATTTCGTCATGCTCTCTTAATTACTTCTTTTCTGCAGTTCAATGTTTTGTCACGTTGAAATAACAGGAAACAATGATGCGCTATGTTAAATATTTGGTCCTTAATGCTCTGTATCCTATGCAATTGAAATTGCTGTATTTTCTGTGTTCTGAGAAAGCTGATGACTGTAGACGGTACCGAACAGACTTTCAACGCAGCTCATACTACGCGATCTACATGCAACTATGCAAGATCTACCTCTTGTGATGAAGCTCGATATGCAAGTGTCCTTTCGCCGATTTTTTCACTTGCCAATGGTGAAAAAAGTTCGTAATTCAGACCGGTTTTGAACTCCCAGATTTCGCAAAACTCCACGCCTGTTTAGAACTCCAGAGTTCAAGAAACTCCCTCGTGCCCAGAGGGTGCGACACGAAGAACGAAGACAATCATATTGACGAAGGTCGAAGACAATCATATTGACGAAGGTCGAAGAACGACGACAATCATCGACAGGCAAAACAGGAGATGAACGAAGGTGAACAATTAAAGGGCTAGTACATCATAATCTCTCGACGACAATTGTCTAAATACAAAAATGAGCAACAAGAGTTTTACACCTGATAACAATTCTTAACTTTTATCTACTAAAATTGTGAATCTTACCCTGTTTGGCTTCAAAATAAAGGAATGGGGGGGAGCACAGAAGGATCGCTTACAAAACCCGGATGATGATTCAATCAATCAATCTTGACGGATGAGTAGATGAGCCTCGTGAACCAGAAGCATGCATAGAAACCGATTGTGCCGGTCAGGACGAAGAACGCATACGAAGCGATCAGCATGTAACCAAAGTACAACACTCCAGAGACTAGCTTCGTGATTTCCAGCTTCGTGAAGAAGTAGAACGTGGCATAGAGGAACAGGTAGACTGCAGAAGATCCTGAGGTGAGGTAAGATCTCCACCACCACAGATAGTCCTCGCTGCACAGCTGGAAGTAGCAGAGCACGACAGTGATCTCAGCACAGGTGATGATGAGGATGATGAACACCAAGAAGAGGAATCCAAAGATGTAGTAGAACTGGTTCAGCCATATCGAGGTGAGGATGAAGAAGAGCTCAATGAAGACGGCTCCGAATGGGAGTATTCCACCGATCAGGATCGAGAAGGCAGGGTTCATGTACCAAGCTTGCTCCGGAATCTGTCTGGGGATTTTGTTGGTCTTTACTGGATCTTCCAGAGCTGGCTTCTTGAATCCAATATAGCTTCCGACAAAGACGAGTGGGACCGAGATACCAAACCACAAGAACACCAAAGCGAACATAGTGCCGAAGGGGACAGCTCCGGATGACTTCTGGCCCCATATGAGAGCGTTCAGGACGAAGAAGATGGCAGAGATGATCCCAGGGAACATGATTGCAGTTCGGAGAGCAATTTTCTTCCATTCGCCACCTTTAAATAGCTTGTAGAGACGGGAAGATGCGTATCCAGCAAACAGGCCCATGAAGACCCAGAGCAAAAGCATGGCTGTCATGAGGCCACCTCGGTTTGATGGGGAGAGGAACCCGAGAATGGCAAAGAGCATAGTGACAACGATCATGCAGAAGAACTGGACACCAGTTCCAACATAGACACAGAGTAGTTCCGAGTTCATTGGTGGCCTGAAAACATCGCCATGGACGAGTTTCCATCCGGTCTCTTCTTGAGCCTCTTCTTGGGTCTCTAGTTCGTTGTACTTGGAGATGTCGCGGTAAAGTGTCCTCAACATGATCATTGCTACCATGCCTGAGAGGAAGAGAACAATCATCAAGGAGTTGACGATTGAAAACCAGTGGATTTGATCATCACTCATAAGAAGATATGCATCCCATCTTGATGCCCATTTCACATCGCTCTCCTGGAAAGAGATTATATATCAGTATTCGAATTAGGAGAACCAGCATGCACCCTGCTACATTTCTATCATCTAAGCCAGGAGAAAAATAATATATCTGCATCACAGAATTCAAGGAAAAGCTCACCTGGAATTCAACATCATAAGTGAAAACAATTTCCTTTTTGTCATCAACTTCCTGAGGAGTGTTGGAGTTGATAACAGTACGCTTAGTATGAGGATCACAGGTGGTTAGACGTGTCTTATCCTCGGCCCATTTTCCCTCATATTCGTGCTTAATACTGGAAAGTGTAATGCTCGGGTCAGGACAGCGGCGGTAAGCTAAAATGGTACAAGAGAAATTGATGCACAGAACACCCAGAATGAAGCAGTAAGGAAAGGAACTTGAATATCCGACCTGTATGGCTTCACTTCAAAACCCACAATTCTTGCAGAGTCAGTTTGCAAGTCTCTGTGAAACTTTACAGTGAATGCTAAGTGGTTGTGGATGAAATATTTTTCCTCTTTGCTCTGCGTACAATCAGAAACTGTAAGACAAAGCAATAACAAGACTGGCATAAACAAAAACAAAGTTTTAAGAACTGTCCATTTACCCCACTGTATTGGCCTTTGAATCCAACATGGTAACCAAGTTGAAAGATAGTAGGTGAGAATTGCTCAAAACGCCGAAACCCCAAGCCTCCCTCATGTTTACTCCTGCACAAGTTCCGCCAAGATACCCAACGAATGCGAGAATGCTCCGCAGAATCACCCCACCAAAACCTGGCCACGTGCCTGTCTAAAAGCCGACAGAGGGAGAGAGGGAGTCTAAAGCAAGACATCACGTGCAGAGGTAAAGCCAAAGCAACTGATTTAATCAACGTCTCCCTAGCAGCCCAAGATAAGGTTTTCCGTTTCCACCCCTGAAGACGGTCCAACAGTTTCTCCTCCAAGTACCTAAACGTAGCCATTTTCGACCGAGCGATAAGCGTAGGCAACCCCAGATACTTATCATGGACTCCCACCGCCCCAACACCTAAAATTGCAGCCAAAAACTCCTTATCCTCCTGGACAACATTCTTACTGAAGCAAACTGCCGATTTATCCAAGTTCACCCGCTGCCCACTTAACTCCTCATATTCATTTAGAACCTCGATCAAGTTTTCACACTCCTGGAGAGTACCTCGCAAAAATAAATAAGAGTCATCCGCAAAGAACAAATGCGAGATACGAGGCGCACGAGGGGCCACTTTCACGCCCTCCAACTTCTTTTCTGATATAGCCTTGCGAAGAAGGGCCGCGAAGCCCTCCGTACAGAGCACAAACAGAAGCGGCGAGAGAGGATCCCCTTGCCGAAGCCCCCTCGAAGGAGTGAAAAAACCCGAAGGAGTGCCATTCATAAGCACTGAGAAAGATGAAGACTGGAGGCATTCCCGAATCCACCCCTGCCAGGTAGAATTGAAGCCCATCTTATCCAATACCGCAAGAAGAAAGGGCCATTCGACTCTATCATAGGCCTTTTCCATGTCAACCTCTAGAGCCATGTACCCTTTCTTTCCCCGAGTTTTGATCTTAAGATAATGCATCAATTCATGCCCCAGGAGCACATTCTCCACGATTTGACGCTCCCGGATGAAGGCATTCTGACCATCAGAAACAATCACCGGCAACAGGCAGGCAAGCCTTTCTGCCATAATTTTGGTAATAATCTTATAAACGAACTGGCAAAGGCTTATAGGACGCAGCTGCCTCATAGTTTCCACATTATCAACCTTGGGAATCAACGTTAGCCACGTATGGTTGAAACTGCGGAGCATCCGACTAGTAGCAAAAAAGGAGCACACTGCTGACGTCACTCATTCACCCACAATATCCCAAAATGCCTTAAAAAACTTCCCCGTGAAACGATCAGAGCCCGGAGCCTGTTTAGAACCCATGGCAAAGACGGTTTTCCGTACCTCGGAGGGGAGAACCTCAGCAGTGAGGCCGGCATTCATCTCTGGAGTAACACACTGGGCAATAGGCAAGGCTGCCACCCGCTCAGTCATATTATCCACCAGGTTTTCTGACGCAAACAGGTGCTGATAGAAGGAGGTAGCTATGGCAGCTTTGCCACCCTCATCAGAAACCCATTCCCCATCCTCATTCCGAAGGCCAGCCACAAAGTTTCTCTTACGACGGGCTCTCGTCACAGTATGAAAGTAGGAGGTGTTCTTATCACCCTTTTTTAGCCAGTGGACCCTGAATTTCTGCTGCCAAAATAATTCCTCCGCCTCCCACTGCCGACTCAATTCCACCTCCATGTCTCGAATCACGTCCCAGTCAATGGGATGAATCGTCTTGATCCTATCAATCTCCCCTTGAAGAGTTCGGATATTCCGTAAGGAATTCGTCGTACCCGCTCTACTCCAGTCATACAAGAGATGACGAAGTTTTTTCAGGCGCTCCCAAAGGCAGAACATAGGGGTCCCGTGGATGGTCTCCTTCCAGACATAAGATACCATCGCCCTTACTTCAGGGTTATCAGCCCAACGGGCATCGAACCGGAAGAGGGGCCGACAGTGGCGTTTATACGGTTTATCCGCCAGGAGGAGAGCTCGATGATCGGAACCTTGGTCCGTAAAATGTTTAACCAGGGTTTCAGGGAACCGATCTAACCAGGACTGGGAGCAGAGGGCTCTATCCAACCGCTCCCTAATACAAGCACTGCCCATTCTCCTATTCGTCCAAGTGAAAAGGTCCCCTTGGTACCCAGGATCATGGAGGCCCAACTCATTAATAAAATTCCGCAAGCTTACCGAGTTATTGACATTCCAAGGGTTACCCCCATCTTTTTCACTATCAGTCAGGATCGTATTAAAGTCACTAATAACCACATAAGGAAGATTGAAATTAGAACAGACTGCCTGAAGGTGGGCCAGTTGGGCCGTTCTTCGAGTAACCGAGCAGCTAATATAAACACAAACCACGATATAAGAAAAACCAACTTCATTAATCTGGGAGCAAATACAGAAGCTGGAAGAATAAAAAATAGAAACATCAACATCGGGGGACCAAGCCAGCACTAAACCACCAGACCCCTCGACCGCATCAACAAAAAAACACCGAAAAATATCAAATCCTAAGCCCCGCATACGAAGGGAGACAACACGCCGGCTAGAACGTGTTTCTGAAAAAAAACACAAGCTCCGGGCTATTAGAACGGACCAGACCCACTGCCGTTTGGAATGTGAGAGAAGGCCCTATGCCTCTCACATTCCAGGCAAGAAGCCTCATTTATCCGGCTGGGGCCACTCCAGGCTGGCTTCCTCCACCTTCTCATTCTCGACATTATCTTCGACAAACTGTTTTTTGGGAGTTGGCGGAACTCCCACCTCCCCATCCACTTGATCCAGAGGCCGCTTCAAAATCCCAGACGGCGGATTGTGCATATTGGAACCATACTCATCAAGGTTCCCAATATCTACACCTGCAGCACTGCCGTTCTCAGCCCCTGACTTCCCATCTTTAGAATCTTTCGCCTCCTGATCTCCTCCCGCATCCTGAATATTTAAACCCACCTCGAAGGCGGCTACCACTTGGCTTACACGGCCCTTCAATGGGTTGCAGCTCTTAGGTGACGCCATCGACGGGGTTCTCTTCCTGATAACAAAATCTTGCGTCTCCTCCCCCGACTCCGACCCTGCTGCTCCCACGTCCGCCAAGAGGGGAGAACTCCTAATGCCACCGGCGGGAAGGTGGCAAGGGTGCCCCACCTCCCCCAGCACATCACTATCCCTTCCCATCCCTTCTTTCACTGCCTGCGAGGAATCTCGAGTGCCAAGGTGGCAAGGGTGCCCCACATCCCCCAGCACATCACTATCCCTTCCCATCCCTTCCTTCACTGCCTGCGAGGAATCTCCAGTGCCAAGGCTAGAGCCCGCGACATCACCGTGAGCCTTCCTCAGTTTCCGACCGCCACGAGCAACCCCCACTCTGGGCTTCACTTCTCCTATCACAGTCGCCGCCTGGGGACGTGGCACAGCCCCCTTATCCTCAATACCCACAGCCACCGATATGGAGCGTGGCACAACACCCGCCCCCTCGTTTGCTAGGGGCTGGGATTTCGATCGGCGGGGTTTCCTGTTCTTGCGCGGTACATCCCCAACTCCCACTGGAAGACCAACATCATCCATTTCCACCGAGGGCTTCTCCTTCTTTAATCCTGAAGCCGCCTTGACCTTCCTGTGAGGGACCTCGCTCCCATCCACTTTGCCCCGAGGGTTATTAGTGTGACGAGGTTTCCCCTTCCCCTGGGCATTATCAGCTTCCATCGGCGGACTAGGGTTTTCCGCTCGCAACATCTCGTCCCCAGCCTGCACCCCCGGTACATCGAGCATATCATCATCAGAATCAGCATCCAAAAGGAGCCGACGGCGCCGCGTTTCAGCCTGGATCCTGACGAACTGATCCTCCTCTGAGCCGGCTTCCGCTTCCATACAAGCTGGAGGGTTGGTCTGCGGGCTGGCGTGCCTCGGGTGGGTGGAGGGATCAAGTTGCGGGCCATCTTCCTTAGCACGTGTCAACTTCGGCCGAGTCTTCCCAATGCGGACTTTGGGGTGACGGTGAAGGATCACCCTCCCCGGACTGCCACGCCGGGTCGGCGATCGTTCCTTACTCTTCCCTTTGTTCACAGTCAACTTCGCCGCCAATGGAGCCTCCCCTGCAGCAGCACTCGAGGGCTCGGCCTGCGGCACATTCTTCATCCCAGGGCCCACCTCCCCTCGATCCGCCTTTATATTATTATGGTGCTGGCGGTTGACCCACACCGACCTTCTGGGACCCCCTGGAAGGGGATCGGCTCCTTCCTCATCATAGATCTTTCGTCCCACTTGCTTGGTGATCATATGCGGTCCGAACCGCTCTTTTCCATTAGGTGGATCATAGCTACAATCGCGGCGAGCATGGCCAACTCGACCACAGCGGAAGCAAAAATTCGGCAAGAATTCGTACTTGAGGCTCACCCAAAAGCTATCCACCTCCTCACAGACCACCATTAATTGCGATCGAAGGGGCTTTGAGAAATCAATAATTGTGTTAACTTTGATAAACCGCTCACCAGAATCTTTGCAAGCAAAGATCCCTGAATCCAGAACTTTGCCCATGGTTGCGGCAATTAACTTCTGCCCAAACAGCTTGGTACAAAGGTCCTCCTGAACACCCCACAGCTGGACACGAAAGGGAGCTCTCGCCATCTCCTCGAATACTCCTTTCGAGATAACAGGGGACCATTGGCGGAGAGTCAGCAATTGATCCTTGATAATCCACGGATTTATGGAAAGAGCCCATTGCTTGGCTTCCTCATTCGGCATTATGATCTCAAAGAGCCCCTGTTTCGTCTTCATCACCTTGAGTTGGCCGCGTATCTTCCAGGCATCCAGCAATCCTCCGCGGAGCTCCATAGTAGTGACGTGATCGTTGGTGAAAAGCCGCCCCAGAAGGGTACGAGAAGCACGAAAACGGGTAGATTGCACCTCCTCGAGGGAGAATTGAACCACTTGATCATCCGAAACGTGGGCCATTATTTGCAACTCCTGACAACAAGAGAGGCGAATCGGGTTAGCTGCCAAAGATACACCCCCTGACGTCGCACTCACCAACACATCGGGATCGGGGTATCGCCAAGATGAATAAATTCTCGACAAAGCGAGGCAAGAAGGAATAAAAGAACTTTCATTAGGGGGCAACCAATTACCTGAGCAGGTTCTCAACGAGGGCCAGAGAACAGGAGCTTCAATGGTAGCAGGTCGTCCACAAAGCCGATAGCTTGAGGAAATCGGCGTTTGTGAAAGGATTATAAATA